TTGAAGCTTGATGATTCTAGTTTTGAAATCTTGAGATGAAAAATTTTTTTGAGCATCACTCTCGGTGCAATCAAAAGAAATAATGCAAGGCGAAACTTTTATATATATTTTTTTCAAAACTGTTAAATTCAGGGTCATTTAGCCTGATTCCTCAGCTTCAAATTGAGATATCCGCTATTGAATGAAGAGTCACCTTTTTTTATCATCGATATCTCATGAACTAATCGTACAGCGAATGTAAGGTGAGTTTTGGAAATTTGAATCAATCCTCCTCAAGGACCTTTTGCTATTGTTTATTGTTAAAAATTGTATTTTATTAATCTGAAAAAGTGCAATTAATTACTTTTTCTGCTGTTTTGGAAAATTTACGACTACTACCAATGTTTGTAGATTATTTTTTAGATCAGTACATGCCCATGAGGCCTGTAAACATTGAAATCGATCGGTAGAACCGTTTTCCTTTCTTTCCCGAGTCGTCAGTTTTATAAAAAATTAAGGAGCAAGTTTTATTACTCCTTAAACATCAGTAAATGATAATTAAGATGAAAGATGTATTTCCGTTATTTTTCTCACAATTTCACGTTAAATATTCATCAAACATCGAAAAAAAAATTCTAAATTTTGAAATAAAAATATTTAAATTTCCTTTGTACTCTCTATACTAGTAAGGCAAATATAATTTGCTTCATTGAATACTGCTATAGCAATTAGTTAACATGCTGTATTTCATAAATGTTCTGAACAACTTTCATTTTAGTTTATTTTTGTTCTATAATAATTAACTTTAGTTACTTTTCCGTATCAAATAAAATTTTTGTTTTAATACAACATTATAACTGATCTCTTCCATATTTCATATACATGATGATTAACAAATGGTGACCAAAAATGAAACCTCGTATTCTTAAATAATCTTTGAATATCCCTTAACAAAAATCCGAAGAGTTACGCCGGCATACTTTATTCTGAAGAATTGTTTTTTCATTGTTAATAAGGCGCGCGCGCCACGTTTCTCTGCCGCTCTTGGCCGCCTCCGTATACTGCGTCTCTCTCGCACTCACCCGAAGTATAAAAAATATTGAAGTTTTTTTTAACAAAAATCATACACGCGATGTTAGATGGGGGGAGCGTAGCTTACAACCTCACCACGTATCACCGGTGGAGGGAGGGTGTAAAAAAGTGGCCTAAAAACCTCACGTAATTAATGGACGATCCCTTAGTAAAAATAACTTTTCTATTTAATTTATAAAAATGTCAACAAACAAGTTCATACTAGAATACAATACGATATTATAATAAGTATAATATAAATTCAAGTAGAAATGGTTTTGGCTTTGAATAATTCGCTTTCTATTTAACATTATTTATTAAATTATATTATAATTTATTAATATTAATATTAAGTTTATTATTATCAAAAACAACAAACCTACCAGTCAATATTGAGCGATACAAGCAGATCCTTAGTTGTAGGCGTAGAGTATACAGGGTCGGAAAGTCCCCATGGTTCATCGGCCGTTACGTAAGCGATAAAAAAAGTCATAGAAATCCGTGCAATAGAGAAAGATGGCTAAAATGAAGCCGTCTAATAGTCACCGCCCATTTCGCCCTTCCACAAAAAAGATCCACTTCTTATTTGTGCAAACATTCTGTATTTTTAAAAATTCATTCCAATCAAAATTTCTGAGATCATTGCATTACAAATGAAGAAGCTAACAATTTAAAAGAAGCCAAAAAACCCTAGGATCATCTGTACGATGCGCTTACCTATATGTTATTTCTAACAAACTGTGATACTCTGAGTGGAGTGTGGCTTTGCGCTCCCACGTAAAACCCGAAGTTTCAATCGAATCCGCCGACGAAATATGATAAATGTATTTTCCGTAAGTGTCGTGAAACTCGAAGATTACTGGCAAATTGGCCCGTTACTTCCCTACCCCGCGGGGGCGGATAAATTTATAATGGGAGGAAAAAAAAGTATAAACCGTACGGGTCGGCCGTGACGCCTTCCCGCTAACTTTTATTGCTTTTCTTTATTCCGAACTTTCCGAATCCGAGCCCGACGCGGCTTATGCGTCGCAATAAAAAAGTTCATGAATTTATCTTAACGCGGAAAAATTTCGACGTATCCCGGTTCCGTTGAAAAAAAAGTTAGTTACGACGCAACAGTGGGCGTCGTACTTGAAACGATAAAAGGCCAAGCGAATATTAAACTACAACTTTATTTCAAGTCCGCAGTTGCAATACAATACTGGGTCAGTCAAAAGTATGGAAACCCCATTTTTGGGATAAATGGTGAGGACAAAAGGCTCAGCATTTTTCAGACGTAGCCTTGACCTTAAGATCAAGGCCAAGGTTCAAGGTCATATCAAGATCAAGTCGATTTCTTTAAATGACAAGTTTCCTTTTCGATCCCGGAAATGGAAAGAGCAGATTATTCTGCATCCGAATATGACATTAACCATGACCTCAAGGTCAATGGACAAGGTCAGTTCAAAGTCAAATATTGATTTTTACTTTAATTTTTCATTTTTAACTACGGAATCAGAGGGAGTGACAGAACATGTCAAGGTCATATCGGTTTCTGAAGTAGCGACCACTTATTTCGACGCTAGAAATAAGAGAGCGTAGAATTACATGTTACGATCTTAAAAGTGACCTTAAGGTAATGGTCAAGTGATTATTCCAGCTGTCATTTTTTATTTTCGATGATGGAATAGAAGGAACTCACAATTTTTTAGTCAAGGTCACTAAGGAGTACCTACTCAAATATTGTCACTCTCTCTGATACCGTAGTTAAAAATAAAAAATATACTGAAAATCAACATTTGACCTTGAACTTTTCTGCTCTTTTCATTTCCGGGGTCGAAAAGGAGGGTCGCCATTAAAAAAAACCGGCTTGATCTTGATATGACCTTGAACCTTAACCTTGACTTCAAGGTCAAGGTTACCATCGGATACGCCGTGAACAATACTTATACCAAAAATGCTTTCTCTTTGAGATTTTAAGTGGTTTCCATACTTTTGACTATTAATCGACAAAATTGAATGAAATTATAGATGTTAGAATCAATTCGCCTGCTTATTTATGATTATCAACAAAACATAAATTTTTGCAACCAATTTAATTAACAATTAATTAATTTAGCAGTTAGGTACCTACTCATTTATTTTAACGTTTAATTTTAAAGTCGTAATTGTACAATTGTGAACTGATTCCACTAGAGGATGGTAAGTCGCTCACTGCAATGTGCTACGTAAATAATGCTCCACTTTATTCATAGAAATCGTGGTTCTTTGATTAATAACTATTTCAGTCTAAAAAATAATATGATATTTTGACATTTTTAGCAATAACTACCTAAAAATAATCGAATATTTTTGCATGTATCACAAAAAAGGTGCAATCTATCAACATGCAGAGAGAAAATATTTTTAGACAGTTTTCAATATTATCTCATAACTAGTTAAATTTGAAACAGCCTGGAACAAAAAAAAATATGAATAAAAAAGTTGCTATGTCAAGCCTGTCATGCATACAGGGTGTTCCTAAATAAGTGTCGCAACGGAAAACTGTAAATTCCTCTTGAAAAAAGAAACATTATTTTCCTCTTCCATTTTTCTCTCCGTGCTTTCGTTTTCGAGATACAGGGTGTCAAAACTTTAATTTTTTTTTAGTTTTTCGCCAATATCTTAGGAATCGTTTGAACTACAGGACTGAGCTTTTGTACACACATTACCACTATTAATAGCTACTTTTTCGCACCCTTCTCGAATTCATTGGACGTGCCAGTGGTGGAGATTTTAAGGTATCGTAAGGGTTTTTCCCCCCCTAAATTTTACGCCACTGGAAAAATTGACTTTTGACAGCAAATTCTAAAGCGCCAATGAATTTTACACAATAAGAGTTCTCTTGGTTCATTGCTCTAAAGTCAACCGTTTTCAAGAAAAATGACTTTTTATGAACAAAAGCAAACATTTTGCTAACGTTTCGAAAATCTTTTGTAATTCAAAAAATAGGTAGTAATAATTAACAATTTTAACGAAATTTAACAACAGATAGGATTTTAACTTTTTTTTATCAATTTGGCGAGTAAAATTTACAGAAACTGTTCAAAATTACGTCCGTTGGCTTGAATGCACGCATTACATCTTCTAATCATGTTTCTTTCTGCCGCTGCGGCTTCACCTCTATCGGTCAACTTTTCGATAGTATTGACATGGAACGTTAGCAAAAATGTTTGCTTTTGTTCATAAAAAGTCATTTTTCTTGAAAACGGTTGACTTTAGAGCAATGAACCAAGAGAACTCTTATTGTGTAAAATTCATTGGCGCTTTATAATTTGCTATCAAAAGTCAATTTTTCCAGTGGCGTAAAATTTAGGGGGGGAAAAACCCTTACGATACCTTAAAATCTCCACTACTGGCACGTCCAATGAATTCGAGAAGGGTGCGAAAAAGTAGCTATTAATAGTGGTAATGTGTGTACAAAAGCTCAGTCCTGTAGTTCAAAAGATTCCTAAGATATTGGCGAAAAACTAAATAAAATTAATGTTTTGACACCCTGTATCTCGAAAACGAAAGCCTGGAGAGAAAAATGGAAGAGGAAAAAAATGTTTCTTATTTCAAGAGGAATTTACAGTTTTCCGTTGCGACACTTATTTAGGAACACCCTGTATACATTCCAATCAATCAAAAATTAAAGCTAGGTAACATCAAATTTGAATGAAATAGTTTGCTTGTAATTTGCTTTGCACTTTGCTTGTAATTTATCCTGTATCATAAAACCAAGCTTTTTCAGGCAAATATTTATAGGAACTTTTTTTAATGACTTATGATGTTGACTCCGACATTAAGATTTGGTAAAATATTTTAGTTACACCTTCTATATTATTATTAAAAAATAGCATTGTTCATCTGTTGTTGCATAATTAGTTGCAATATTTTCTCATATTTTAAAAGGTCCCAATTCTAATGAAAAATTTTGTTGAAGAACTCACCTTTTTTACTTCAAATCAGAGATCTCTGCTCATACACCAAAATGACTGGGTTTCCTGCAAAAAAATAGGTAATTTTATTTTTCTACAACCATTGGGTTTTGAAATTTAATATCAGCATACCTAGTTGGACCTAGGAGGAATTCTTTATTTAGCTATGCCAAATGCCAGTTCTATTAATTTTGAAATTCGAAGAGAATTCCTGACATTCCATGATACTTTCAAGGTCCGTACACTCAAAACTTAAATTTGTATGTAAATATGTAGTTAAAATGTTGAAAATATTATTATGAAAAAATATCTGTGAGAAAAATAATTTACCTATATTAATTTCAAGAACTTATATAATTTAACTGTTGCCGAAATAACCTATTAGTACCGTCATGGATAAAAGTGTATAGTGACTAACTACTGTGAACAAAATACCTACTAATTAAGAATTTGGACAGCTATACAAAAACTGGTATATATATAATAGCTGGTTTATTTAAAAAAAAACATTTTGGTTATTTTAATTAATAATGTTCTGTTGATGAGAAATAATTATACCTATATAAGCATACACCATACTTGTTCTATGAGAGTAAAAAATTAATCTCGCTTTACCTCACAAAAATCTTTCACTACAGGTATAATAAAGTAGATTGCTACTTTTGTACTACTTTGACCACAAAAACTGCAGGAAAAGGCACTAAAAAATTTTGCACTTAAGAACATTGACATAAGCAACGGAGAAACTATTATCAATTTTCGAATTTCCCAGCAATTTCCAAGTGACTGGAAAGAAATAAATAAGAAAGAAATATGTAGACCCCAAAAATATGTATTTTTTCGGAAATATTTTACAAATCCTTAAAAAATAGTTTAATAATAATCCTAAATTTCCTGAATAAAAATAAGTTTAGAGAAACGTCTGCTAATTGCTACTTGCGAACAAAAATGAAATTTCTTTCAATACGCTTGCATCAGGATCGGGCATACGAATTTAATAACAAAAAACTGATAATTACTCGCAAAACCTCGGATCACCGCGAAATGAAAGTACGCTCGATTTTTTTTATTTTCCACCCAGAACGAAACGAGGTAGACGTCACATAAACAAATGCGCCAAAAACTGAAAGCATGCATAAAAACTGACCCTCGCAGATATTATAAAAGTGGGACGGCCGGCTTTATAGCCCCTATTGAACGCTTAAACCAGCTTTTCATCGCTTTTTACAATATTCCAAACAGCAGTTTTAACCGTAGCTGATATTCTGCCAGGGACGTTGATCGCTAAAATACGTTGCCGGTTTAGTGGAAATTATGCAACCGACACGTTTTGCACAGACCGAAAATTGATAAATAACACGTGTGTTGAATGATTAATAAAAATGAACACTGCAAATTATTCCAATGAGAAATTTAAAATCTATGAAAATTCTATATATAGCTACTATGATAATTCATTAACAAATCAGCAATGGAATCCTTCTAAAAAAATTAAGCCCATAGTTAGTTCAAGGGCATTTATGCTCGGTGATAAATGTCAAAGTCTTCGTTTATAGCTATACGCTCAACCGCATCATCCGATCATCAATAATGCCACAAACATAATTCATTAGCAATATACAGCGATGAATATCTGGGAAAGCGGTCAAAGGATTTTTTTGAAATTGTGGTGTAAAAACGGGCTGTAGGGCCTACAAAGTTAAAATAATTTTATGGTCATCGTACTTGCAGTTGTACCGGAAGTCGATACCAACTTTCTTATTTTAAATGGAACACCTTGTATATTATTGCATTTTTGGAAAGAGCAGATATTTTAATTTTTTGGCAAAAATTGACAGATGCAGACTGCAGCAAAATTTAGTTTTCCCGGAAACACAGGTTTATTTTTTTTGAGAATTTTGTATAGGAAGATATAATTTATCGGATTTGATATAAAAATTTTCCAGTTTTTATACAAGGTGGCCAAAAAAAAAGATCGAATATGAAGTTCAGAAAATGTGGAAAACTCGAAATTAAATGGAAACCCCCAATTTTTTTAAGGTATTCGCAATCTGCACTAAAATTGAGTGTAACTTTGTTAAAGTTTCCCTATATCTAAACCCAGTCGTTTTCATTTTATTTACGAATAAACATTTCCCTTTTCCTAAAATGGTGTTTCCATTTGTTTCACACATTTTAGGTTGACCGTGACAGGTAAATAACAATCAACATGACAACTGTCACAGGTTTATAATTGTCAAATTTATTTGAATAAATGTTCAAAATGTCTTCCTTCAACTTCTAAACATTTTTCACACCTTCGGAATAGTTTCTTGTGGGTCGCAGCTCTAATAGACCCCGGTGATTATTGAGTAAAATTGAGTGATTTTTTTTTACACTGTATGACTACATTTAATTTATTGTTACACTATCTGTATTAATGAAGTAATTTTCACTTTTATTAGAAATAAGGTAGTAATTATATCTATTTTACTTGTAAAACGCAAATAAATAATTTCTCCTAGACATTTAAATATCCGGTTGCACTCACGGAACATAACGAATCATTTTTAATATGGTTCACTTGTTCAAGATTACAATTCCTTGTCCCCATAAAACCTATCCATAAAAAAGTTTATTTCCTTAGAGATTTGTATAATAGTTACTGTGACAACGTTTTGTTAGTAAGAAATAATTATTTATAAAGTTACATGCATATTTGTTCTATAACTGTAAAAAATGTATTTTATTTTATATCACAAAACTCTTTAACTGCCGATATAATTAAGGAAATTGCTGCTTTTACTCGTATACTACTTTGGAAATATTACACACAATATTTTATAGAAATCTAGGAAAGAGAAACCGGATAACTTCCAGTTTTAGAAAATTTCCCAACATTTCGGGAAGAATAAAAACTCCAAATAAGAAATATTTCCAATTTTCGAACTGCCAGCAGATAAATAAATATAAAATGGTCAATGTTTTATTATTAAATAAATGAAGAAAATGTGAAACACTTGATTACATTTATGTCATAAGTTTCGATCTACTTTCCTATTCAATTGAGAATCTCATTGAGCAAAAATTTAAATCCGCACTGTTTATTTTCTGCATGTGTGTTTACATTTTTGCATGAATTTAAATTGATATTTTTGCATTAAAAATATCGTGGTATAAGTAATGTAGAATATTAATATACTATAACTAACAAAATATACGTATGCCTATGTACGAGACATAACTTATACAAAAAAGTATTAATTGTACATACTACTATCTACAGACATGTACAAATGTGAAAATATACATCTGAGATCAATTAAGAAAAATAGCTGGGGAGTTTAGCTATCTTTCCAAATTGAAAATATCACATCCATAATTTCAAAGTGCTTACTGTATACAGGGTGGTGAAAATTTATACAAAGTTTAGGTAACCTCAAACCATAAGTAGTTTTTCTTTTTCAAACAAATAAAATCTTTTTTATTTTATTTTCATTCATTTCCAGATACGGCTCTCCTGATGCAAAATTCTGGCTATGGAGCAGATAGTGGGATTACTAAAATGTGAAGTAGTTGATCGCCAGCATTAGTAAAAATAGCACCTACAAAAAACTTCGACTATTTTAAACATGCTAGTGTGACCTCGTTTTTGAAACGGGTATACCTATATTGATCGCAGGAGACACAACTGTTCAATTATTTTCTACAATCACTTTCATTATGAGTAAGAAATTATTATTTTGTTAACTTTTGCTGGTACTTATTATTACGTACTATACCTATATACAGGGTGAGTCAGTTTTTTTTGTGGTAGAATTTTAACAGTTGATAGAGATTCATTTTTTAATAAGAACAGTTCCAATAAACATAGGTCTAAAAACGTTTCGTTTGTGAGATACAGTGTATTGAAAACAAAGAATTTTTCTTAATATCTTTAAAAGACCAACATATATTAAACTAGTTATGGTGAATTTCTAAATTTCTTAAGGGGGCGATTTAGTATGTATATTTTTACCGTGTAACAGAGCTTCAGATGAGGACACAAATCATCAAAGAAACTAACATAATTGAATATTATTATATATCAATGTATTCGCAATGGTTCCCGCTAGTGAGTGAGATAAATTTCAATGCTCATGAGAACAGAAGAATAATTTAAATAAATGCCAAAGTACCTCAATTTTAACCATACTGTTAGTCTGTCAATATATTGCATTTACGACGGAACTAGGTCAGGCACAATAACCAAACTACTTCACTCACTAGAACGGACACTTAGGATCATTTGTATTTAATTTTCAGATTAATATTTATTAACAATTCTATAATTTGTGTCCTCAAGTAAAATGACAACATTTTACACACGACTCCATG